GCCTGTGGTATGCCTGCTTTATTATTGTTTAAACCTGGTTCACATATTTCACATATTGTCGTTAGCAGTTCAACCAATTAATAATTCACAAAAGAATGTATGTATCAACAGCTGTAAACAATGATAACACAGGCATACCACAGGCATATGTGAACCTGCCTTTTATATAGCTGTTGATGTATACATTCTTTTGTAAACTATTTGGTTTAACTGCTAACGACAATAGCCCGCTGACGGCCGACATCCCGCAGGTATATCATATATGTAATGGCTTATTGCATTTTTTATCCGTACACCCCCTGTTGAGGATACCTACCCTCCGGATTTCCTACCCTCCGGATTTCCAAGTAATGTTTTGTCAGAAGCCCTGGAAAAATGTGGTTTGTAGAAGGGGGTGCCTGGAATTCCAATTGTGTTTAATCAATGACCCTTGGGAATTCATTTTTTTTCCGCATGACTCCGGAATTCCACTGTGAATAAGTTGATCTCCCCTGGAATTTCCAGTTCCGGAATCATTATTTTATCCCCTTTCCCGGAATTTCCATGTAAATCTTATTATTTTGACCCCCACCCACCGGAATTCCAGGTCATTATTTTATCCCCTTTCCCGGAATTTCCATGTAAATCTTTTTTATTTTGACCCCCGCACACTGGAATTCCAGGGTTATTTCGACCCCCACCCACTGGAATTCCAGGTTGGTTTGACCCCCACCCACTGGAATTCCAGGTTGGTTTGACCCCCACCCACTGGAATTCCAGGTTGGTTTGACCCCCACCCACTGGAATTCCAGGGTTAAATATAAAAGGCATCCCCTGGATTTCCAAGGTTAAATATAAAAGGCATCCCCTGGATTTCCAAGGTCCTCAACTGGGGGTGAACGGATAAAAAATGCAACATGCCAATTTAATACTTAATTTCAATATGACACAACATGACAACAAACGTTGGTGATTCTGATTTGCCTTGTTGACATTTTTCTGGCAGGGATTCAGGCGAATCCGATTATACAAAGATTATGTTCTTCGTATTATTCACAATAAAAGCGTTTGACTGCCGGAAAATGTAAACAACGTAAGGGACATATACACGAGTTGTTTCCTAAATGAACAAATTTGCTCGCAAATTTGAACCTACTTGTACATCTCCGCTGTATCAATCATAGGATATCCTTGTTTCAAAGCAATACTGACTGACCGAGAAGTTCCCTCGACATCGTCCTTGGAACATTGATATACTCCAAGACCTAAAACAGGAATGAAATTTCCATCATTTAATGGATATTTGAACTTCAGTGTTAAGTCATCAATACATTCCTTTGCCATTTTCCGACCTTCCAAGTCTCACGCATTCTGCGCACTGAGATTCTGCGTGAGACACACGCAGGGGCTGCGCTAGAATGGTAGGGGGGGGGGATAAATTTTGTCGAGCTGGGTTACGAACATTGGTTACGAAGGCAAATTTTGCCAAGTCACTACAACCACCAATTAATATTTCTTGTCCCAAAATTGTTGGCGAGCGGAAGGGGGGAGGGGGGGGACATCATATTTCTCAATATTATTTTGTGTTCAACCACCGTTGTTCGTTCCATTTTTCCCTAATTGTTTCGTAAATTTCTCCACATTTTTATAATTTTTCCTATCCAATTCCATGTTTTGTCGACTAGGATTCAATATTTTGCCGCGCGACGTTTACTGGGTGTGTTCCCACACACTCCCACCTGGCTTTAGCGCCGGCCCTGGACACACCCGTTGGATTCTCCCGCTCACACGCAGAGAAAGGAAGTTCTCGCCATTTCAATGGTTCTCACGCATTTTACGAACGTCGTAGATTTATGTACATTATTAGGTTTATTACCGTACTTTGTTTAGTTAAAATGTACATGCCAAAATCGGAGGGTCTAAACTGCAGGTTGCAGGTTGGTCTAAACTGCAGGTTGCAGGTCAATGCAGGTCAATGCAGGTCAATGCAGGTCAGTGCAGGTTAATGCAGATCAGTGCAGGACCGCAGGTTAATGTAGGTTAGTGTAGGTTAATGCAGGTCAGTGCAGGTTAATGCAGGCCGGGTAATGGTTCATGTACTTTAGCCTGTGTTGCCTAGTCGGTTTGACAATAATTGTTTTCCTAATTTCCTTCAATTTCTTTCTGTATTATTTACTATAATGGAACTCATGTTATTTACATTGTGCTAGATCAATACATATAATCACTGACAGAAAACAATTAAAGCAAGTCTTTCAGTTCAGTTTTGAACCGAGATTTTCCGAAGTTGACAAGTCTCTCTTTCTCGCTCCGCCCCTCCGTACTACGTCATGTAATGTACACTATAGTGGATCGATATGACAATGAAAGAGAGACTTGGAGCAAGTCTGATGATACACTATGTCTAGGAAAAGTCTCCGAAACAAACTTTTATGAAACAAGTTTCATTCGTATCATAAAAAATCTTAAACCTTTTGTTTTATTTTGAACGACTGGGAAGATTTTTCACTTTTTGAGCATGAATTTCCTTGGAGTCCACATTCTTGCAGTTTTTCGACCTAAAAAAATGTTTCAGAAACTTTGTTTAGGAAACTTTCCCTAGTGTATCAAGGCCTTAAGTTATGTTCAAAGTTTACGAAATTGCGGCCTGTTTGTAGATTACTTTATTAACGTTGGTTATTGTCGATACCGGGATGCTATTTTCTTACTTTGAACGTGATTTTTGACCCCATGTAATGTTAAGCTAGTTGTTAAACCGACTGGGCAACACAGGCTAAAGTACATGAACCATTACCCGGCCTGCGTTAACCTGCACTGACCTGCACTGATCTACATTAACCTGCACTGACCTGCATTAACCTGCAACCTGCAGTTTAGACCAACCTGCACCGACCTGCAACCTGCATTAACCTGCAACCTGCAGTTTAGACCCTCTGTGCCAAAATTACCATTAAAAAGATGGGATTATATACTATAAGACTTTATATCTAATTTTTCGGCAGTCTTGAAAACGTAAATTCAACTGAAAATCTCTTGGAATACCCCAATCATTTCTTCCCCCGGACAATATATGGCGTACAAAGATTTGATTTTTAAATAATAGAGAGGTTCAGATTTGACTTTCACTAACCTCTCACTGGCTTAGTACCCCCATCTGATCCAGGTGATCTCGTGTTCGTATTTTAGCCAATCAGCGTTCAGAAAGGGTTGTCCGAATAGAAATCCATTTTGATGTATTCAGTCAATTATATCTTTCATTATTCTTTATGAAACTAGTTGAAATTTTGTAATTATGTTTGGTTATGAGAACTATAGCTCTGACAAAAATATGGAATCGAAATAAAGTATATTACAGGAGATATTCAGTTGTTTTAATCATAAAATGGATTTCTATTTGACAACTAGTGCCAGTACTTTTCCGCGTATCAAGATCACCTGGATTGGTTAATCGGATGTATTAAATGCATCTGATTGGGTAATGGTCCCTTAGTCAGTTGAACCATTCTTACTCGAACTGACTGTAAAACGAATTTGTAATTTGACATTTTTGTATTGCTGTTCGTTTTAGAAGCCATTTTAAATTCCTAGAGGTATAACAACGCACATTTAACAACAAAAGAGCCATTTCTATAGGTGGACTTTTTTGGGGACACCCTGTAAAACCAACCCCACGGGACTTGCATTAGCAATTAAGAATGTCCGGCAACCCTAATTTGAAGCATACCAAGGTTGTTTACCATTTACATGGAAAACCCATCCAGTTTGAAATTGTGCTAATTGGTAAGCCAAACTTGACTTAGCGGCATTCGCCGCAATGGCCGACCAAACGCTATTCCCGTCGTTTTCTACGGTCAAGGCTTGACGTTTTTGGACGGTGGATCTGTGGCGTTAATTGGTTTGCTGATGTTGTCCAGCTTTCAGCCGATAATCTAACCGATTCTCTGACATCTACCCTTACTACCGCTATTGACATTTTCTTTCCCCTAAAGTCCACCAAGTTACACACAACCGATAAACCATGGATCTCACACGCCATCAAGTCTTTAATCCAGAAACGACAGAACGCATTCAATAATAATGACCCAGTCCTATGGAGGCACTATAAAAATAAAGTTAAGAAAGAAATTTCCAAACGCAAGAAAGCATTTTACGAAGATAAGGTAAGCACCTTAAGAATGAAGATTGTAAGAAATGGTGGAGATTTGTGAATAGCTTATCAGGAAGACGAAATAAGTCGCAACTTTTCACAATCGAGAAGGACGGGTTAGCTTTAACCGACTTCGAGCTTGCTGAACATTTAAACACGTTTTTTTCTATCTGTTAACGAAGACATCTCCCCTTTGGACATAAACAGTATACCTGCTTTCCTCCCAGCGGAAGAACCCCTTCCAAAGATTTCTGAGATTGAAGTCTACAGCAAATTGGCCAAGATTAACCCCTACAAAGCAAGTGGCCCCGCACGTATTCTAAAGGAATTTTCTTTCGAGCTCTCGAAACCAGTTGCACGGGTTTTTAACGTTTCTCTTTCCGAAGGAGTCACCCCAACTGCTTGGAAAAAGTCTGAGATAATACCTATAACAAACGTTCAGCCTGTTTCTGATGAAGGTGACCTTAGACCTATATCCTTGACTCCCTGTCTCTTCAAAGTATTGGAGGACTTTGTGGTAAATTGGATCATTTTGGACTTAGGTCATAAAATCGACCCCCAGCAATTTGGCTGTTTAAAAGGCACTTCCACTACTTATTGCCTTCTCGATATCCTTCATAACTGGCTAAATCACCTCGATAACCCTGGAAAATACATCCGCGTTTGCTTCCTTGACTTTTGTAAAGCATTCGATCGGATCGACCACAACATCGTCATTTCGAAACTTATCAACCTCGGCGTACGAAGAGCCTTGATCCCGTGGATCTGTAGCTTTTTGTCTGGTCGGATGCAGTCTGTAAAAGTTAACCAATTTACCTCTAACTGGGCTCCTGTTACTGCCGGTGTCCCGCAGGGTACCAAGCTTGGCCCTATCCTATTCCTCGTAATGATCAACGACCTTGCCAGCCATTCTCCGTTGAGGTCTAGTAATTGGATGTTTGTTGATGACGTTACCATCTCCCAAGCCATCCATCGTAACTCCCCCCCCTGGAATACAACAAGATCTCCACTCTATTAATGCCTGGTCGATGAGTAATAACATGAAATTACACCCTAAAAAGTGCAAGGACTTTACCATCTCTTTTCTGCGCAACCCCCCACAAGAACTGTCTTCTACATTGTCGATCAACTCCCAACCTTTAGAGAAGGTCTGTTTTAAACTGCTAGGAGTCACCTTACAAAACGATCTAAAATGGAACGCCCATGTTGACTCTATCACGTCCAAAGCTTCAAAGAGACTTCACATTTTGCGAGTTTTGCGTAACTCCGGTGTCTCTGCCAACGACCTCCTGACTATCTACATTTCGATTATCAGATCTGTGCTAGAATACTGCTGTGCAGCCTGGAATACATCTATCCCCTCCTACCTTTCCGACAAAATCGAGAGGGTTCAACATCGTGCTCTACGGATTTTATATCCAAACATGTCCTATTCAACCGCGCTTGCTACCTCTTCTCTTCCCCGTCTATCCGATCGTCGTGATACTCTTTGTAAGAAGGTTTTGGATAAAATAACAATACCATCATCACGCCTTAACCGCATTTTACCTCCGACCCGGATTGAGTCGCATGGCAGAGAACTGCGCCACTCTAGTAATCTTAGCCTATTTAAGTGTAGGACGGACAGATTTAAGAACAGTTTCTTCCCAGCTATGTGCTCACGTACTATGAACAAGTCATGACCGTTGTCAATTAGGTTTACAATCTAAATTTCCATTTTTATATAACTCCATTTCCTAGTTTTAAAAAGTAACAGTAGTCTTCATAATTGTAAGCTTGTAAAAATACTATAATTCACTATTACTTGTATTAGTGCGATTGTATTTTAAATATACCGTCCATTAATTAATTAATTAACTAATATACTAATCTATATAGAACTCATACCTGCAGTCAAGTTGGCTTCAAAGTATCCCAAACATTTCAGGGGATATCGCTGACCGTACGCTACAAACTTCTTGTTCGTATGCTTGAGCGGGCATTGTTTGAACTGTACGTTCTTTGTACAATTGAGAAGAAATTATGTTCTGCTAGCACCCGGTGTCAGCAACCATTTTTATCTTTCGCCCGTTAATGTTTATCAAGACACGATCATCTTTACCCTTGGTAAATAACACGTGCTTTTTCTCTGACCGGCTATCTTCTTCGCCGACCCAACTTTGTCGCTCGACCGCACGAACTTTGTAATTCTTGCCTTTCTTGCGGTTGACTGGCTTACAATTTTATCTCTGGCTTTCTTTGTGTTCTGTTGATCTACACACACGAGCGAAGTGTCCCACTTTATTACCTTTCTTGTCACTAGTACGACATTCCGTCGACTTATGATCACCTCCCGCTACACCTATAGCACAAACGGTTTCTGTCAGTCTGCAACCGTTAGAGATTTCCTGCGGACAAATAATTACTTTCTTGACCAGCCGAAAGTCTCGCTTCGTTGACTGCACTCTTATTTCTTGCTATCTTCACGGCTTTGGTGAGATTTAAATCATCTTGCGACAATAAACGTTCCTTTAGGTGTCTAGAATGGCATTTCTCGACTATTTGATCGCGTAACATTTCATCTTCTAGCTCGCTGAACTCGCACGTTTTAATCAACTCTCTCAGAGCCATCAATGGCTTCGTTTGGGTGTTGCTGCCTGCTTCTAAATCTATATCTTTCAGCAACCACATTTCGCTTGGGTTGGAAATATTCTTCAAGAACTGCTCTTGCTGCCTTCAGATTACTTTTTTATCCAGGAAGCGTACTGAAAATTCTCTGGATCGATAGTCCCAGATAATGGAGTATCGTTGGTAGTTGTACTCCACCACTAGATTTCTTATCAAGCTCGAGAGCTATGGCATAGACATCAAAGGCATCTATCCACACTCCAGGTGATCTTGATACGCGGAAAAGTACTGGCACTAGTTGTCAAATAGAAATCCATTTTATGATTAAAACAACTGAATATCTCCTGTAATATATTTTATTTCGATTCCATATTTTTGTCAGAGCTATAGTTCTCATAACCAAACATAATTACAAAATTTCAACTAGTTTCATGAAGAATAACGAAAGATATAATTGACTGAATACATCAAAATGGATTTCTATTCGGACAACCCTTTCTGAGCGCTGATTGGCTAAAATACGAACACGAGATCACCTGGTTTCCACTCTGCAACACCCGTGTTAAGTTGCTTTGGTGGCGAGAGATTTTCAGCCATCCTCGTCGCCAATGTTGTGCCACTCAGTGTCAAAGAGAATGAATACCTTTATTCATTTAATAGCTCTTCACATATATACACAATCCTGGTAATTTACATACCACTAATGACTTAATTATAATACTAAATTACTAATTATCAATACACTACAATAACTTTAGGAATTGTTCCAATCTCTTTGATTTACAGATGTTCGCCAATCATCCAAATTTATTTTTTACACATAGAAGTGTGAATATTGAGATTGGAGCATTTGGAGGAACTGATAAATTACAACTTCGTTAAGATAAGTTATTGAATATTGGCTAACTGCAAACAAATTATGTTTGAATATAGATACAACTAATTGTTATATTGCATACCCCTCAAAAAAACCCAACTTATAGAAACACCATTTAATTATGGTGTTTCTATTGAAGAAGCGAGCTATGTCTAATACCGAGGTATTTATATTGTTTGCCATTTAAACTGGAAAACTCAAATTTCTTATATTTAAAAAAAAAATCAAAGAAATATGGGTATTCTCTTGAAATTGCGATATTATGTTCCATCACATATTCTTATTCAGTTTTATTTTTCTCTGATATATCCGTTTTTATGATTGGCGTGACAGTTTGGGAAAATACATATAAATCGTCTTTGACGGAAACCTTCAGTACTCTTTCAGAAAAGAGTTGTGCGGGTAATCATGCACTCATCATAACTTATGATGAACTTACTAGTCCTTCATTTAAAAATCATGTTTTTTTTAAACTGCTTGATAATTAAATTATTTAATTTTATTATTTCTTATGCACGACTATCATGCAAATAAACTTCCAAGTGTCTTTAACCATTTCTTTCTTGCCGTTTGCGACAGTCGGCAAGATAGACGAAAGTTTGAAAATTTTAACTAAATCAATCTTCAAGAAAAAAATTTAAAAGTCAATTCATTAACGAATACTAGTTTTATGTTTGTTTCGTATATGTTCATTAATTTCAATTGATATATTTGAATCAACAATTGTGCGACAAGACCGTTGTCAAATGTTGACCCACAGCGACTTGATTACGTGATGAGGCTATCTGACTTCGATTATAGTGCTATAGCTATTTCAGATCACCTGTGCCAATTATGTATTAAATAGGTGTGGAAAAAATAATATTCTGTAAATAATTTAATGGTGCAAGAATAAAATTCGTCTTGTCTTTTCTTGTCTAATACCTCCCTACTACAACCTGGATCACGATCGATAGGGAGAAATTACATGGAGAGGAGAATGCAAGAACTTCATTTTGGTGAGATTTGATGTAGATCAGTGCTTGATAGGTATCCGATAACAGGGACGGCTACGAACGGCTGATACCTTCAACTATATGTCAGGAAGCTCACCTGGAGATTTTCTGGCTGGGGTGCATCTACTTTTCCAATTTTAGGGATTAATTCCTGGCATTCCGTCAGGTTACTACAAAGATGGCTAAACTTTCCAAAGCATGAGATCCATGCATGTGATGGCTTTCTCATTCGTTTGAACCGTTTCTTGTATTCTAGATTCAGGTGCAGAACTTTGATCGGAACCAAATTGGTCGTTGGAACCGTGTCCTACAAAAGGATGATGTTCACATTAATTTACTCCAATATTTACACTATATAAGTCTTAGTCATACAAGACGCCAAGTATTATACCGGTATTTTTTCTCTTTCTTCGCCTGACTCCGAATTATCATGGTGCGCATGTCATCCGTGTCATCTTTTCGGATACGTTTTTCTGGGAAATCGACATTTCCTCTGTCCACGAAATTGAATCCTGTATACAGGGTGTATCAAAAAAAGTAAGACAATTTTGAAATTGCTCTCAATTCCACAATTCATGAAATGTAATTTTTTATATGTATGGATTGCTTGAGTTCTTAAATTATGGAAAATATAAAAAAATTTGAAAATAGTAAATTTTGCTATCCAGGGGGGTGGTCAACTTTTGCTCTCCTAAAAGTGGCTTGCGCACGGAAATGACAAACGGTATTCTTTATTTGAGTTCATGTATGAAAAGTTCGCTATTTGTTGCATTTATGATAAAATTTCGGCAGGATTTTACCGAGTACAAATCCTCCGAAAAGCCTATGACAACGTTACATTTTTCTCTGTCGGTGCTGTTCATGCTTCATTATGAATTCATTTCGAGTTGTTTGTGCTGAAACGCATTCTCTCGTATAATACCCCGTACATGCACTTTGAAATGGCGATGCCACAATTTACCCCGCAGCAGAGAGCTTTTATGCATGGTATCAGAGTTCCTCCGTAGCAACAACATAAACTTGGTTCGCCAAAGTTTCACGAACGAATATCCAGATGTACGATGCCCTTCACGTATTCGCAAGTTTATGTTGTTGCTACGGAGGAACTCTGATAACATGCATTGCCATAAAAGCTCTCTGCTGCGGGGTAAATTGTGGCATCGCCATTTCAAAGTGTACGGGGCATTATACGAGAAAATGTGTTTCAGCACAAACAACTCGAAAGCACAAATTCCATGGAAATTCCATGGAACTCTCATGGGAGTAAAAATGAATTCATAATGAAGCAAGAACAGCACCAACAGAGAAAAATGTAACGTTTTCATAGGCTTTTCGGAGGATTTTTACTCTGTAAAATCCTGCCGAAATTTTATCATAAATGCAACAAATAGCGAACTTTTCATACATGAACTCAAATAAAAAATACCGTTTGTCATTAGGGGAGCAAAAGTTGACCACCCCCCTGGATAGCAAAATTTACTATTTTCAAATTATTTTATATTTTCCATAATTTAAGAACACAAGCAATCCATATATAGCAAAAATTACATTTCATGAACAGAATTGTGGAATTGAGAGCAATTTCAAAATTGTCTTACTTTTTTTGATACACCCTGTATAGGTTTTTAATAACTTAGCTGTAAAGGATAAAATTTAGCAAAACACAAAACACGTCTATTACCAAACTAAAATTATACTCATACTCACTTGTGTTAATAGGTACATCACGGTCGCGATTATTGGCTGAAACATCTGTAACATGTTCATTTAGAGATCCCTCCGATTGAAGTGCATTTGGTAAGAGTTTTGGCGTATCAGCGAACTGTTCTCTTTGTTCAAGCATATAATGAACGGTTTACGTAGTTTATAAAGTTTCTGGTTCATACATAATACATTTATGCACAGAACAAACTGAGAACATAAATTGACATTTCACGTGACTTTGGTGATATAATCTTTGTACTTCGGGATTAGGAGTTGCTGTAATTTTGTAATTGCGGCTGCAAAAAATCTTTAAAAACGTACAATTTGTTTACTTGTGCGTTGCGTTTTTTTATGAAAGTGTGGGCTTCTTTTTTATGAAAGTGTGGCTTTCTTGAGTTTCTGCTTATTTTTTAAGGTAGTAATATAACCACTCAGCACAGCATTTTCACATTGGTACTACCAACACTGGTACAGACAGTTTTAGTATGGGATTCTATACACACTTCCCCACACAACTAAGTTGTAAGGTGTCATATAAAGTAAATTAGCATTTATAGCATTTTGAATAAAGCATATTTAAAGCATTTTATTTTGTTTTATTTTATTTTAGAAACTTTGTCACAACGTTAAGATTACATTATACAAATAAGGAACTAGGGATCCAAGGATAGTGCAATGTTTCTGAAAGCTTGAAAAGTCATTGCGGAAATATCAAATTTTTCAAACATATTGTTCATAGTTTTGCAGTTAATTTGACGCGGTTCGCGTTTAATTAATTTTGTTGTAAATTACCAGTACGCTTGAAGTAGACGAAATTTGGAACTTTTAGATGAACTTTTGAACATATTACAGCCATTTTGGTCGGTCCAACCATACCACAAATCGCAAAAATTTCCGAGCTTTGTTTACGTTTCACGGTTTGTGACACAGCTAACAGTAGCTTGCCGGAAGCTACATTTTTAATTAATGTCGTACATTTGTCGTACATGGATGTCTCAATTGCTTATATACATAACACAGTATCAAAAAATTAGTTTTGTCGATATCCCTGTATATTATTTTGTAGCATCTCAATTTATTTAATATACAGAACGCAGACAAGTTTATACTTACGATAAGATCGGGCCGAAATTTCGGCCACATCACGCATTAATTGCCAAAACAGTAAATTTGCCAACTTGCCAACTTTTTATAAACGTAAACATTGCCATCGACATGACATTGTATTCAAGTAAATGTATTAATACGATGACCTACGAATTGTACCTAAGACATAATAACTTTTAGTCTTGAATTCAAATAAATTTATTGAAACAAAGCAAAGGCTTTGTTATTAAAAGCTAGTATATCTCGATTATAGTATTATGCCAACAGCAAACTTCGCGCTTGTTATTATCCTTTTACTTCAATTACGGCACAAAAACCAAATATCACTCATACATTCATGCAATGATGCAAGTCATATATTACTATCCATACTAGAAAATACATGCATGCAGAAACCCTCGCCTTGCAGACAAAACCATTGTATTTTCCGAACATGAAGTATCTAAGTTGTCATGGTAACACGATAATTTTTTAAGAATATTCTTACAAATGAAAATCGCCTAAAAATATCACTTTTAATTACAAAATTATTAATTTCCCAACATATTTATGTTAGGTATGTAATTATACGTAATACAAGCTTCAATTTAAGGTAAAATTTAACCACAAACAATTCACAAAACGTTTTAAAGTGTTCTTTATAAAACTAAACTGCCTTTAACTATTAAATGGCTTTATCGATAAACTTTGAGTTTGCAATAAAATAATTTCAAATTCTCGCTTGCAAATAACTTTGCTTTATTTTTTATTTAAAAAATTCAATATAATAAAAAAGGGAATCAATATTAAAGATACACTGAAATTATATGCTGTCTTGTTTAGTTGTTTCATATACGCAAAGGCCGTCGGGTTTTAAATCCATTATAAAATCGATATTTAAAACAAACTTACCTTCGTTAACGTCGGCTCCCTTCTTTTAGCCGATTCTTTCGCAGTTCCTCTCTCAGAGAGCTTTTGAAATTTACAAAATCTTGCAAAAATGCGAGCAAAAATGAAATATATTTGCAAGAAATTCAACAATCATCAAATCAACTCAAAAAATGTTTGCTATTTCGCTGTCGTCATGCAGTCGTTATAATGCAAACTTTAAATTGGACCAATCAGTGTCCGCTATTCGTGACAGTCCGCCATATTTTTGAGATCAGTGAGGATGACCACCCACCCAACACCGT